ACACACACACACACACACACACACACACACACACACACACACACACAGTGGACGTTTGAGTCCCTTTAATGTGACGTATGGAGGGAGAAGAGCACAAAGACAATGCAGCTGTTCTGCGTGAGACAACCTCTGGGTGAACTTGTACCTGCTCCAAGTCTTGAAGGTGTTGCTGGCTCTCTTGTAGAGGTAGCCCTCCATGACGATCCCATTAGCTGCGTCAGCGTTGAAATCCATGATCGAGTCATCATAGGACACGTCCTGGAAATATTTAAGAAAAACAAGTCACTTAGTATAAATGTAATTAGTGTTAATGGCCTGTTACTGTAGTTGAATTGTGGTTAAAATTGAGATTTATAAAAGTGTGCATCTAAATGTATATTTTGATGAATGCGTTACCTTTGTCTTGATTGCAGCGTGTCTTTGCTCCATGTCCCTCTTCTCCCGGGCGGAGTTTAGGACAAACTGAGTGTGCTATTCAAACAGAAATAGACTCAGAGGTCGTTCTCCAGACAAATATTGATTATTAAATGATGTACATTATTCCCCTCATAACAGTCTTAAAGAGCTCTTCCGTATAATCTATTAAACTCTGACACATTTATTGATTTGCTGTTTTAATCAGCTAAGTGGAACAATGACATCAGCAGGCTACCAACACTGGGGCTTAAACCCAAATATTCACAACACATTAACCAATTAAATATAATGTATGGAAAGCCTAAATGATAAATAAAAAATGTGAATTTAAATGCATTTGGTGAGAACGTTTTCTTTGTGTTTTATGTAGAAAATATTAGCTACGACAAGTGTTCTGAGAAGCTATAAAAGGTATAATTGCATGGATTCTGATTTAAGTACATATGTATCTCTATGCATTTCTATTAGTGCCCATTCAGTTATTGCCTTGTCTGTCTATTCACTGAACTCAAAGGACTACTTTCCCTGTTTCCTTTCCCTTTCCTCTCCAACATAAACACACAGCAACAAGTTCACAGTAGGTTATCACTCCTGCAGTCTTTGATCTTCAGGAAAAAGGAATTAGGAAGTGTTGAACCTTTTCTTGCATCCTGTGTCAAACTGAAGAACACCACTGGTAGTTTCTTCCCCCCCCCCCAATACATAGTACGTCAAACACCAGGATGTCCTACTGCATCCAGGAGCAAAGTTATGATACAGTATTTTGTACCATTTGAATGCTTACACTGCAGTACGTACTAAAAGTAAAAAGAAAAAGTGTGCGATTTGGAACACAGCTGTTGTGTCTCTCTTATCTGCTTACGCTGGTACCTATCGTTTCCTCTTGAAACAGGAAGCGCTTTAAAGGAGTTCAATATGGACAGTGAACACCGGCAAATTCATTTCCTGTTTTAAATCCTTTTAATTCAGCAGAAACACAATAATCCTGCTGCTGCTGTTCAAGGTTGACGGTGCGAAACATTTTTCCAGCTTGGAAATTCAAAGAACAGGAAATGTCACACACACACTCACTCACACACTCACTCACACACTCACTCACACACTCACTCATACACAGCCATGTGAAATATTTCCTGTTGTTGCTCACTTTTTCCTGTCACGATGAAAGCGTGATGTCATCTTGTGTGACTCCTCGGCCCTGCCGCCCTTTAGAAAGATGCCAAGAACTCATCAAACTAAATTTGGAGTCTTTTGCTTAAAAAGTTGCCATGTGGTTTGTTGAACACCAACATGTTTTAGTTTACGTTCAACATGTTTTACAAATATCTTTAAAGCTGAAATTAACATTTTGAATCCACTGTATGCCTCATAAAAAGTATTTTCAATGTTTGTATCAGTGTGTGGTCAACTTCTCTTAAACTGGCACACTCTCCGATTGTTTCATTTGAACAATAGACTTCTTTCGCGGCAGACATTTTTGACGTGTCATAGTAGGAAAAGCACAGGTGTAGTTAATAACGTTAATGATATAGCTGCATTCCACGTAGGCAAGGCCCTGATATTGTGCAGGCTGGTTCCCTGGAATAGCTCACTGGGACACTTAATGGAACTGAGCCATCGTCAATGTTATCAATTCCACCTGTGCATTCCCCACTATGACAAGTCAAAAATGTCTGCTGTGAAAGAGGTCCATGGAAGCGAGAGGAGGCAAACTATCCAACATTTCTCAAAAACAGGCAAAGAGAAAGGTCAAAATAACAAAACATACAAAAAAAAAAAAAAAAAGCCAAATTGCTTGTTGGTAAACTTCGCTTTTTTCTTCCTGAATCGTGAACTATGTCACTTCTGAATCCTTGTACGCTGCTGAGCGGATGAAACAAACAATACAGAGAGCTGCTCCTTAAGCATTGCTCCTCCACAGAGTTTAAGGAATGTTGTCTTATAAGGTCAAAAGCTCCAGAGCAGCTTCTAAAAGGGACCTTGTGGCGAGGCTGTTACTTTAATTGCATAAATACAAATGTGCTTATTTGCCGTCTTTCCAGGAGTTAAGACGAGAGAATCGATGTCAAAGTTAAATCTCCGCATTAAATAGTGAATTTAGAGCCGGGACTCAATTAACCTAGCTTCAGAAATGAGCCTATTAGCTCTTCTTAATTTTAATAAATAGTACCAGGTATATATTTTTTAACTTTACAGCAGGCTAGTTAGCCGTTTCCCACTGCTTCTTGGCTCATGCTAAGCTAAGCTAAGCCCCTCCTGGACCAAAGCCCTGCTTGCAACACCTTCAGGCTGCTATATTCTCTGAGCTCCACATAACTTTTTGACAATTTTCCTTTGCTCAGACTGCTGTTCATCATTTAGTTCAGATTTGTACCGAGCCAGTTCTGTCGTCAAACAGGATGCCGTTACCTCCCATGATTGCTACAAGATCCAGCTGTAGGAAAGGAATTCAATCAGGCTTTAACGAAGCAATTACCTCTTCATTCAATTTTCGTCGATACTCGTCCAGTTCTGAGAGAGACTGGTGGCCATGTTGGAAGAGCTGAGCCTGGGCCTCCATCAGTGACAACATCTGACAGGAAGCATGAGAAAGTATTTACAAAAACTCTTCCATACATACATACATTTTTAAAGACGTAGACGCCACGTTTTTTTTACAAAAGCAACAACATGAAATTCAACATGAACTCACTGCCATCAGAATGTCTGTCTTCTTCTTCGCCTCAATGACGTTGATCTGAAACAAAAAGGTAGCAGTGGTTTGAGACGGTGCTCCCGTTTCCATAACCGAAAACTCATCGACCAGCTGAACCTCTGGGCGTCACAGCCACAAGGCTGGAGAAAAGCCCCGAGGCAAACCTGTTATCATTCAAAACCGCAGAAGCCCAACTATTATTAGACGTGCCGTTGTGCGTGTTATCCACGATCTTTTTGGTACCTGAATCCTCTGGTTAGGTGACTGGTTTCCCCTTTAAACTTCCTTTTGGCAGACTGGAACATTTGATTTCTCACATTTGTATTGAAAGTTGAAGTGGACCCTGTATAAGCCCGTTTTTATGCTAAGCTAAATAAAATGTAGTTCCTGGTATCTTTTATTCCTGCAGCCCAACCCAAAGTGAAAAAGTAGGTAGTTTCACATCACCCAACGTTCTCTCTCACCTCCAGGACATAATCCATGGCCTCAGACCGGAAGGTCCTGCGTGCGTTGAGCAGAGCATTGCTCGCCTCCTCCACTTCGTGCTGTTTCCCCCGTGGCGCCTGAGCGTTCCTCACCAGCGCCCCCTCCAGGCATTCGCTGCTGCGCTCAAACTCCTTGCGCACATCCTTGAAACGTCGCACATCCCTGGGAGATAAGGAGGGAAGAAAAGAGGAAAATTACCAACAGACAATTTGGAGATTTGCAGTTTTAACTGGAAGATGTAAGCTCAGAGTGTTAAACCACATTTAAAATGTATCACAGGATAAAAATGTAACTAATCACTATTGTCCCATGCTATGAGACATCCTCTCTAATCTAATCCACCATATCATTCCCACTAATAAGAGCAGACTGCGAGACAGAGTACGAGGAGAAGTCTAACAAAGGAACATAATCCTTTAATATTTTTGAATGTGTGTGCTAACGGTTGGCAGATCTGCAGGGGGAGTGACTCAGCCTGAAGAAGGCAGCTGAGTGCGTCTGAAAGATGAGATGAAAAAGCAGCTCACTCACTCTTTGACAAAGTTCTGCAGCTTCGTCTTCACCGACTTCTGTGTGGTCTCAATCACTTCCTAGAAAAGCAGACAGAGATAAATCTATCACAGTGAGCACAGATGACTGCTAAATGTCAAATGTGACCAACAGCGTGCTGCAGCTGTGTTTGACCACACACTGCGGCTGATGAGCATTGTGATTGGAGATGGTGTTGAAGAGACGGTAAGTCAAAAAGGCCAGACAGACAGACTCACCCCCTGAGCATCCAAGATGATGGACAGCTTTTTGGAAAATTTGTCCAAACACTCCTGCAGGATAGACATTTTAGATTAGACCCATCAAATCTTAACAGCAATATCAATACAACAATCATCTCTGTTTCATGGTTAGAGTGCAGATTGTGATTCCAGGTTCAGTTCAGTGCATTTGGTTTCATTCAAACCCATGTGTAAAAAAAGTTAGATATCCTGAATTTGACAGTTTAATAAATCTGATTAAAGTAGTACCTTCCAGGTGTACTTAAAAGTTAAAAAAACACCTCTTTCTTTGGGTAAATGTGACATAATCTGAGTGGAAAAATGACCCGAGTGGTATGTCGCTGTGCTTCTTTTTTACCTCCATCGTCTGGTCCCCGGAGCAGTGGTGTCCCAGATCCCGGAGGCCATTGATGAAGCTCTTGCTGGTCTGGCAGTAGACTCTGCCGGCCTCCAGCATGGCATGGCATTGTTTCACAAGCTGGATGACACAAACATTCAACACCACAGTCAAATTCATCCCGAATACTCAAACAAGACTTGAGCGGTGACTAAAGACCGGTCATACTCTGTTGGAATAATTAAACATAATGGAGTTATTCTAGGAGTCCACACATTAAAGCAGTGAAACAGTCAGAGTTAGAGGTTGTTCCTGGAGAGCGTAATTACTGCGCATGCTGAATATGACCTCCAGCTTCTGTTGCATACCGTCTGGAGTTCATTAAACTGCCTTTGAGACAGATTATTACTGGATTTACAGGCTGATAAAAAGACATGTCATGAGGCAAGATATTTAACAGATTTTACATTACAGATATAAAAAATAACTAACATTACATACAATATTACATTTAGAACAGTAACACTGTTTAAGAAGTAGTACTACACATATCCCATGTTAGCCAACAGTCGCCTATTTACACACCCAGCAGACATGGAGCAACATTGGCATTCATTTGGAGTCATGTTTCTGGCCACCCTACGTACATAAGTCCAATGTACACTCTTCTTTTTGCTCTGATCTGGTCTTTACCAACTCTTGAGGGAGATATCTGTCTCTTTAGCTGATAAATGCTCCACTAGTTGCTAGCTTAGCTAGTTGCTAACCAGGCTAGCTAGCTAGTTGTAGCCCAGGGGTGTCCAAACTTTTTTCAAAGAGGGCCAGATTTGATAATGTGAAAATGCCCAAGGGCCAACAGTCCCTGCTGACATTATTTTAAACAATACAAGTTGCCTATACATACATTGTTATTTAATCATTTTATTTTCAATGACAGCAAATAGCAATGTAACCAAATGTAAGCATTCATGTGTGACCGGACTTTGGACATGCCTGGCCTAAACATTAGTTGTTTCCTGTGAAGATGGAAGTTTATTTTGGAAAGACAGTATGCATGTAACAAGCGAAAACAGACTCATGTTGCTGGACTTTTGCAGGAAAAATGCACGAAAAGTGAGGAGTAATATTTCGTAAGATATCAATAAAACGGGGATGAATTTATATCATTGTATTAAGAGAGTGACATGAGAAGATCAATCTCATGTCTGTAAGTTAAATCAGCTATAATCACTATTTTAAAGTGATTAGTGACTCGTCTAAAATATTTAAAAAAGGAATAACTTCAATAGAATCATTCTATACACTGTAGCTTCTTTACATTCTAATAGAATGTAAAGAAGTTACATTCTATACACTGTAGCTTCTTTACATTCTATTAGAATGTAAAGAAGCTACATTGTTGCCTTTTCTTTTCTTTTCTTCCCACAAGAACATAATTTTGTCAGGTTGATAAAAAAATGTCACTTTACTTCCTGACATTATTGTTACTTTACCATGTAGCCTAACGTTACAGTGAAGGACCCTGAAGAAAAGGGTGAGAGTTTAACTGAGGAAACAGTAACATTGTGGACTTTAAAGCCAAAAACAAGGAGCTAAAATAATAACTATGTAGCAGTATAACACAACAAAAATGATTACTTGAAGTAAAATACAGGTTTAATACACATTGAACTGCAGCCTAGTTCATGTTCAGCCATGCCATGTTGCAACCACACAGGTGTTTCAACTTAATGTGCCGGATTACAAATGTTGGACCTCTTCTCAGGACTGGTTGACGTGACAAAAATGACTGTGTACTTTTAAAAGAGGAATTAACTCTTGCTTTCTTTCGCAAATTTAAAGCTGTACCAATAAGAAGCGAACAACACAGAGGTTTGACAGCTTCTGGCTCAACTGCTCTGGTGGGACTAGTAGCTTCTGGTGGCTGATGTTAGCCAATGTTAGCAAACCTCAGATAGTTGTTGATGTGTAACTGACTTTTCTGGGTGACGTTGTTACCTTTATGACTCTTTTGTTCTTGTGCTGCTTAAGTTAGAACAGTCTGAAGGCCTTGTTATTCCCAGCACAGTGTGTAAATGAGCCTTCAATGTACTACAGTATATTTTAGCTTATCCAACATTTACATTGATGTATCTGATAAGCACCTGTGGGCCAATTGGTTCTTTTGATATTCAATACATTGAAAAACATCCAACACTCGTGCAAGCAGGGACATTTCTTTATCTTTCTTTATCAGAGGTCATAGGTCAGCTACAGAGCAGACATGCAGCACGAGGGGTTTGAACCCAGTTAGTTCAGTTTTTTTCCTAAATCAATGCATCTCCCTGCTGACACAAAAATCACTCACTTGTATGCTTTACAAGGAAAGTTAAGTGAACCAAGAGCTTTATCTAGGACTCGTATATTTCCATGTTTTTTCATCAAGGAACAGAAACACAACATGTGACAACATGAATATATGTTATCGTATCAAAGCAGAACAAACTATTGTTCTCTCTGTTGTAGGACAATACGATGGGGAAGCAGCACCTGCGGCTACTTCCTGTCAGGTGAGAAATACCTCAACTACCGCTGCCCACCTCTCACTTCACTGCCTCTTCACATGAGGAGCATGTGTCCAACAGCAATGTGTGTGTCTGTGCGTGTTGGAGGGAACATTTTTGAGAAGTAGAGCATTGACTCACTGTGATATCATAAAAGTGTGTGTAGGTGTATGTATCTCACCTTTTCTAAACGTGTCTCGAGTTCACTCACATCGCTTTGGACCACTTCGATGTCAGCTCTGAAACGGACACACAAAGTACACAATGTCTCACACACACACTGATTTAAGTTCGTTCACAGGTTTCAAACTACTCAAATTCAAACTCTGACACCACTCTAACCTTTCTTGCGTGCATGCTGTTTATTGTGCTTCCTGGCTGCATGTTTTAATTTGTAGCATAATGACTCTCTACAAACAGTAATATCCCTTTTATTTTCACAAAGGCTTTCAATCATTTTGTACATTTATCTTATATTATCGGTCAAGCGACTACAGATGAGAATAGTGGATAACTCTGGCGCATTTACAGCAATGTCCATCATTGTGCAGTGTCCCTGCTAAATAGAAAAATTACATTGCACGAAAAGTATACACTCAGACTCAGTTATGGATTAATACCCTTCAATTTTGTTCCTGAGTGCAAGAGCCTGGCCTTCTCAAACATCTCTCACTCAGAAGCTCTGTGCACGGCTAGATTGACAGTCAGTATCTCTCTCTGCCTCTCGTCTCGTCTCAAACCAACAGCTCAACCATGTGGTTTCCGCTGCCTTCCACCAACAGTACAGAGATACAGACAGAGAGAGGACGGGGGGGAGGAGAGGCGAGACTGAGTGGAAAGAGAAGAGAGGAGGGCCTGGACACACAGTAACTGTTTGTGCTTCTGTTTGTTAGTGTGGGGATGTTTGAATCAAAGTCTGAGATCAGCTTGAAGAGAGGATGAAAGGGAAGATAACAACAATTCCTTCATTAAAGGGGACACATCCTTTCTCATCTGCCTCTGAATTAGTGTCACAGTCAGAAAGCAAATGAAAGCAGAGCTGAAGCAGAGTTTCCGCCGTCGTTCTCCCCACAGAAGAAAAAAAAAAAACACACTTCCTGCCTCCTCTGTTGATCACCTCAGCACATCTCGCCTCACTTCCTGTTGCCCTCCCACCTCTTCGTTACCTAGTAACAGGAGGCAGCACATTTGACAGCCTGTCCCGAGCTGTCAGTTACAGCTTTTATTTGTTCATCCTTCGGCCTTCCTTCACATTCTCTGCTTATCAGTTTGATTGACTGTGTCTATAAGTGGAGGTAACTTCCCTGCCCCTTTTTTTCCTCCCCTCGTTCCTTCCCCTTGCTCTCGGCCTGACACGAAGCCTCAACCACTGCAGCTGCCACTGCTCAAACTTTCCACCGCTGTTGCCGAAGCCTCACGAACTCAATACGGGCAACAGGGGAGGCCGAGGCTCCGGGGTTTGAAATACGCCAAATCAGCTGGAAGAGACGACACACACCAGCCGCTGTGACTCAGGCAGGATGCCAACAAGAGATCAGGGCACACCCAAAGTCTGTCCAACTCTCTGTCGAACTGCTTGCAAAACCAATTTAGCAACACTTCCCTTTTGGTTACACCAGATGCCGACTCTGTGTAGTAGAGTTACAGCATAGATAGGAACTTTAGAGGCTTTTAATGAGGCTTAAAAAGCATCAAAGTGAGGTGGAAAGTAGCTCAAAAAAGGGGCAGAATTCAGTGAGTGGCACAAATACACGTATGCCATCCATAATTTCATGTTTCTAATAAAAGACGTTGAGTGACAACAGGGCCAATGTAAGCTTCATGTGTTTCAATGACCCCGGAGCAGCAACATCTCACCTCAGATCAGTTTTTTGTTTTCGGCCCTGCAGGCCTGCATGGAGTCTCATTCCTTTTATTGACCCCCAACACTTGCAATGACATGACTCAGACCCAGAGGGACCGCTGATTGTGACTTATTAAGAAACACTGAATGCATTAACGGTCATTTTTCTCCTCTAAAAAGGCCCCTAACATTTGGAGCTATTGCAATAAGACCATCAAAAGGAATATAATTAATTATCCATCTTTTCTAGCCTATACTTTAAACTTCAGATGGTAAATTAACTCACTTTTGCTGTGTTTTGCTGCTGGGAGTCAAGAGGTTAAGTCTCCTTGTTGTATTGACTGCATCACTATTAAAGCACAGGTGGAATTCTTACCTGAAGCGCGGAGAGTCTTTCAAACACTCCTCAAAGTCCAGCTTGACTGTCATCACCTCCGCCTGTAGTCGCAGATCACTTCAAACACTTCACTCGATTTCCTTCGAATCCTCTCCGGAGCTCCAAGTGGACAGCAGCCCGACAAAAACAACACTAAATCTTCAGGTTTAAGGCTCCAGAATTCTTACAGTATCATTTGTATTCCTCCCGCAGCTCGTCCTGTTCAGCTTCTACTCTCTCTCTCTCTCTCTGTCTCTCTCTCTCTCTGTCTCTCTCTCTCTGTCTCTCTCTCTCTCTCTCTGTCTGTCTGTCTCTGTCTGTCTGTCTCTCTTGAAGGGACACCGCGTGCCTGAACTCTGTCGCACATCGGAAGCCACGAGACTTGTCACCACGTATGAATGAGATGTCAGCCGCGTTATTACCATAAATGTATTTTATCCGGCAAAAATAAAAAAAAAGGCGAGAGAGAGATGCTGCTGAAAAGTTTTCCCTCGCGACGAAAGCACATGGATCGATATTCCCAAATGAATAAGATCAAATCAGAAGGCAGCCGGTTGATTGAGAGCCGACTCTCTCTCTCTCTCTCTCTCTCTCTGCCTGTCTCTCTCTCTCTCTCTCTCTCT